AAACCTTGCCACGCAAACCCAATACAACTGCCCATATCAAAATACAGAAAACGGTGACAGGCCTTGTAAATAAAATACAGAATTTTAACAGAAAACCAGATGTGGAAACTGCATCAATTAAACATCTCTCTGTTCCTCCCCACCTCCAACAATTCCACTTCCTTTCATTTTATAAAAGGATATTTTAAATATTGGAACACCACAGAAGACTGAAGAATAATACTTTCTAGAAAAATCTTAGTTTTTATATTGTCATGATTGAAAAATGTTTTGTCAGAAATTTCAGGGCCTTGCTTCAAGACTTTGGCCACTCAGTTGTGTCCCTTCCAATATGTGTTCTGCAATCAAGTCCTCACAGACAGTTGATTATTAGTGGCTCAGCTAATATCCTGTAAGTTAAACTATTTTTTTAAAATAATTGTTATTCTTATGAGACAAGAAATAATTATGTTAGATGAGTGATTTATGTTAAACTTGACTTTGCAGATAAAGTGTTTCAATGGTGAAAATTTCTAATGTTCATAACTAGGGCAGCTATGACATTTGAAAGCTGCTAAGTGCTATGTGTTTTCCCCTTTTACTGTTTCTTTCTAAATGTGATACAGCCTTTTCTCCCTTCTTTTACATTTTGTCTTCCCCCCAATAAAATGAAATGACCAAAACATAAGTTACTTGGATACAGACTCTTTTTATTCTCATAAATTGAATATTTGCTCAAAGAGCCTCAGGATAGTGGAAATGTGGGACTAAAGAGGACCTCAGGGAGTCATCTAGTCCATCCCACTTTTCTGAAGCACAGCTGAATATATTTAGATTCTCTCTCATGTCTTATCTATTCTCTGGCATCACCATGTTTTCATATTCTCCCTTTAGTCTGTTTCTGTGCTTAACAGGCTACAGTGAAGTTTGTTCCCCCATTACATAACTCTGCCCTGCTGCAGATTGTATCAGTTACTAATTGCCTTAACAAAGAAAGGAATTAATTTTGTCTTCTTTATGTCAACCTCTTATGGATTTGAAAGCTGTTCTACTGCTCTGTACAACCTATCCTCTTTGAAACCGGACAAACTGTTTCTTACATTTTTAATTTAGGCTGTGTTTTCTTAAGCTTTCTCATTCTTGTTCCACCACTTACTTCTTTGCAACTTATGCACCAATTCCTGTTAAAGCCTTGCAAGCATCATTATCCCCTCTGTCTTACCCCAGCACAGAAAGACATTTGCTATTTTCAATATAGGGTTGCATTTGGGATTCTTACTCAGTTTGAAGTCCACTATAGCCTTAGGTCTTCCTCTGTTATTCATCAGTCTTTCCCCATTTCATCTATATGTATTTTGCTTTTTACTTCTGATATTTAGGACTGCATTTCTCTCTACTGAATTCTATTATTCTTTTAATTTTCCTTATTTATTAGGTTTATTTATTTATCAGGTTACAGTTCTGCCCTGATGAGTACCTGCAAGCCCTTTAGCTCAAACCTATATTAATGTAGTCTTTCATATCCAATTTGTTTATTGAAAATACTGAACACTTACTTCCTGAAGCTAAACACCTGTGAGCTGATGCCTCTTCCTATTTGATCGTGGTAGCTCCAGTGTGTATTTGAGGGGAGGGTTTCTGTCTGCTGCATACATACTTCATGATAATTTCATTTAGACTATAGTTTCCCTAGTTTGTTTATCACAGCCCTGTGGGACTGTGTTGAAGACTTCTATACTCAAAATGCAACTTCAAAATAATATGGCAATGGTTACTGATGTGGTTTGCTTGTAAACTAATTGCTTTCTTCCTCAGTTTCGAATGTTCCTATCCAAAACTTCCATTATGTCATAGATCCTACTAATATCGAGTGTGGAGAAAATAAAACACTTCCATATGTCCCAAAATGCTGTAAGATGTCCGATGTAGTCACACCACTGCATCATGTTCTTGATACCTTCTGTTTTGAAGTTTCAGGAGATGGAGGGAAGGGTAGGGTAATACTGGCTTTTCTGGTTTATTATTAGTTTTGTTTCCTCTTTCTTTTCTCTGTTGGAGTTGATCTAAAGTAACTAAAAATCCAGCTGACAGGACAAGAGTGGCTCCTGCCATGTAGAAGCCTGCTCTGTAATCTCCAGCCACATCCACGATCATACCTGGAGAGAAACAAATGACAGCAACATGACTGACAGAAAACAGGCTACTGTGAATTAGCTCAGCAGTGTGAAGATATCCTCTCACAAAGGGAGTATGCTGGCTACATACCCGTCTTACAGCTTTCTACATCATGAGTGCTGGAATATTATCCCATTATAGCATTTTAAAATTTGAAACACAATTCACAGTGCGTTCACGTTGCGTATGTGAATTGCTAATAAAACGGAATGCTGTACAGTTTGAAGCACTTTCCAGCCTAAAACATGGCAGACAATGAAGGTAATATCAGGAAAAAACTAAATCATGTAGCTTGGTACCTGAGTAGCCCTATGTTCTGTGGTGTAGATGTCATCAGTTGCTATAATTTGGACCATAATGCTACAGCACAAGAGAGTTTAAAGAAGGAAAGGAGAAGCCTCTGCTGGAGATACAGTTGGAGAGATTGCTTGCAGTGTTATGGCCTTCCCTATTCATCATTCTACAAGAAGTCACAGATGTTAACAAAAGACCCTGCTTTTTAGGTATCTTTAAGCCGACCAAAATACCTAATGCCATTGTGTACCACACTGAAAAAACAGCAGTATAGTACTAGTACTGCAGCAGTACGTGTGGCAGTATCGGCGGCTGTGTGGGTACAATGGCAGGTTCCTTCATAGGCTGAGGACTGTTTGCTTGGTCTCCCATTGGAAAGTTTGTCCACACTTAGTGTAGCCTTGGTTCCTATCTACCATCAGTCCTGTTAGGCAAAGGAACTCTGAATCCAAATCTTTTAGATTTTACTCTTAAAGTGGGAGAGGAGAGCTTGAGAAGCACTTAAGGATTCACTCCTCTTCCATATCTTCTTTTTCATAGAATCATAGAATGGTTTGGGTTGGAAGGGACCTTAAAGACCATCTAGTTCCAACCCCCTGCCATCAGCAGGGACATCTTCCACTAGAGCAGGTTGCTCAAAGCCTCATCCAGCCTGGCCTTAAACACTTCCAGGGAGGGGGCATCCACAACTTCTCTCTGAGTAGCCTGTTCTAATGTCTCACCACCCTCACAGTGAAGAACTTCTTCCTAATATCTAATCTAAACCTCCCCTCTTCCAGTTTAAAGCCATTTCCCCCTGTTTTGTCATTAACTGCCCTTATGAAAAGTCCCTCCCCAGCTTTCTTGTAAGCCCCCTTCAGGTATTGGAAGGCCACTATAAGATCTCCCTGGAGCCTTCTCTTCTCCAGGCTGAACAGCCCCAACTCTCTCAGCCTGTCCTCATAGGAGAGGTGCTCCAGCCCTCGCATCATCCTGGTGGCCTCCTCTGGACTCATTCTAGTTGCTATATATATTCAAAGGGGTTGCACTAATCCCCAGGTAATCAGTACTAGTGACAAGCCACTATATGTCATGTTGTCTTTGTATTTTATCCACATCTTCCCAACATGCTTTTGGTACTGTTCTGTTTCAGATTATCTGTAAATCTTCCTGCTTCCTGTGTTTTCAAAAGTGAATGTGAATTTAAATATTCCAGTATTCAGTCTGACCGATTTGCAACCTGTTAGCAGTGTCATTACCGCAAGTCACTAGTGTATGTTTGGATAAGGACTCAGATCCACATTTTACAAGTCACAGTGGTCATTTTTCTGCCACACAACTTCGTAAAGTCCCTACAGCTTGCAGCTTGTTTGTGTTGCATTTTTCCAAGATGACTTTGTCTCATTGCCAGCCCATGAATCCATGTGCTGTCTCATTGTCTGCTCTCTCTTCCCACTGTTTTTATGTGCTTCCTGCCCTATTTATTGTATTGGTTAGCTCAAATGCTGTCTGAAAACAGCAGGCAACTCTGTGAATATTTCCTTGAGGCTCACATAGCTTAATGTTTCTAGCTGTTCAATTTGACCTTCTGTAGAAACTTCCCCAACAATACCAGCATTTATGCAACATCACTAGTCTCAAATTTCAGTTTCTTCTCTGAAAGGACAGATCTGCTGTTTGTCCCAAAGGTACACTTTTATAGCAAGACAGCGGAAGTCCATCAAGTGGGATTCTGTGGGATTCAGGAAGCAGGAACACCACTATGGAAACCCTGCCATTCTTTGTTGCTTTCATGTTGAACAGGTATCTCTAAAACCACAGAGAAGAGAGGGAGCAAGTCATTTTGGAGAGGAATTAAATCAACCCTTTGTTTTTAAGTACTTCTTGATCCAGATACCCTTGAGCTAAAAAAGGGGGAAATTTGGGTCTAGATCCAGATTTTTTCAGTTTGGATTACCATTCCCCTTTCTTCTTGTAAACTGTATTTGGCAGAATATGCTTGAAGAAGGAAAGTTAAGTCTTAACTTACCAGCAAGAGGAGGCCCCACAAAACCTCCACTGCTTCGAATGAGCATGAAAAGCCCTAGAGCACTGTCAAAATCTGGCATGCCTACAACATCTGCTAGCACCGTAATGTGAACAGCCACTGTTGTACCGAAGAAGAATCCATAGAAGCCAGTGAATACTGCCAAGGACAGGTAATTGTTAGCCAGTGGCAAGAGCATCAGGGAAGTACTGATCAGTGTAATTGTCATTGCCAGCAAATGAACGGTTTTGGTAACATGGAGACTGGCATACCAGCCACACAGCAGTCTGCCTGCGAAGTCCACCATAGCCAAGATGGATAGCAGGGATGCAGTCCACGATTCGTCTATTCCCAGACTGTAGCTAAGTGGAACTAAAAATAATGGAGGAACAAAAAAACTCATAGCAGCTAATATGCCAAAAATGGCATAAAGTACAAACTCTGGTTGCCTCACAAGCATCCAGTTGAAGGTTTTGTGTGTGATGGGCGGCTTTGCTTCTTTGTCTATCCTAGATGCAGTATTGCCAGGTGGTGTCTCAGTTCCAGAATGGCTAGCTTCAGGGAGGCAGCTGCTTGCCAGGGGTCGCATCAGAACTCCACAGACACAAATATTGAGTTGGATGCCACCTATGATCAAGAGGGCACCTTTCCATCCATATTGACTAATCAACCACTGGAAAAATGGCCCAAATGTGAGTGCAAAGGCACATTCTCCAGCACTGGCAATAGCATTGGCCAAAGCTCTTTTCTTGGAGAAGTAATGGCTAACAATGCTAATGGCTGGTGTCCATGAAAAGGAAATCCCAAGTCCTGAAAAACAGCAATACAAATAGCACCAGTTAGACACTACTGAGTTATTTTGTGAAGGTGGAAATTAAAGCAGTCAGTGCTCCTACATTTGCAAAGCTAAAAAGTAGTAAAAGAAAAAAATTTTTGTTCCTAGCAGAAGCATGAACTCAGCTGTACTATGTGTATGTGTATATTTGTGATATATGTTTGTAAGAGTAGGTTGTATGTTCAAGCAAAAAATTAGGAGTATGAAGTATACACTATTATATTCTCACTGTGGAAAAAAAAATAAAAAAAAAAATAAAAATTGGTTTGACAAGTTTGCCGCTGAGTGACAAATCGCATGGCCATATGGTTGAAACAAGACAGATCTCAGAGTGTCCATGCTGTCCTAATTAAGACTGGTACTAGATCAGATCACCAGGTTAAGCTGAGCTATGTTCAGGGTAGAAAGTCAGGGAGGACATGAAGGAAGCTGGTGTATTAGATCTACCTGCTCTTCATTTTCTTGCCCAACTGCTTTGAGCAGGCTCCAAGCCTGCTGTAACTTACAGTGATTTTAGTGGCTCCCTAGAAACTATTTATTTGGCAGCCTAGGACTGCCAAAGGGCTCAAATTCCAGACATTTTCTCAGGTAACCAGCATGGAACTGGGAATGGTTTATTTTATTCCCTGCCAGCTTCGCTTCCTAATCCAGGAAGAAGTACTAGCTGTTGGAGACAACCTTCTGGCCTGTTTTCAACCTAGAGTAAAGGAGATGATTGGAATCAGCTGAAAGCCTCAGCCTGTGCTCAAAACCTAAGATTATTTGAGAGAAAGTACAAAATTTGGGATCTCTTTGTCCTTGTACTGCAGCACCTTTCAGGTTCTTTAAAACTTGACAGAGCTTTTGGCTCTGAGTACAATATAAAACACTTTTCATTTTTTAAGTGTAGATAATTTGCAGGTGAAAAATACTAGCATCTAATTATTCACCTTCTTTGTCATTGCAGGTTTCTACCAGAGTGGGACATGAGGAAAATGGCCTTTAAAGACGGTTGCTGGTTCTAGTTGCTTATAAAATTAAAATAGAAATCAGATTTTAAAACACCTACTATTACCACTCTCAAATACGGCTTCTGCTGCTGGTGAAAGAAATCTATCAAGCCATAAAGGCATACCCTGTAGGAAGCCAATTGTTGCGTACATCCAGGCTATGCTGAGTCCAAGAAATCCCAGGGCCATTCCTGAAAAAGCCAGGAGTCCGCCGGTGATCACAACTGCCCGATGGGTGTACCGTACACATAGTGAGCTGGCAACAGGAGCTGAATCAGCAGCAAAAAAGGAGAAAGATAAATACATTAGGAACATTAAGCTGATTGACAGGACCGAACAATCAAATAAAGCAATTGGAAATACCCTTTTATAATGCTTGTCTCAAACAGCTTGAATTCTGCTGGACAGGAGGGGTCAGTTGAGATTTTAAAATTGGATCCTTGCTGATAGGGAAATGAGTATCCCCAGGCCACAGATTTTAAAATACATTCAAAATATGTGGACTTTCTTAAAGAGAAAGAGCATTTCAGACACTTCCTTGTACAAGAGTTCTACAGATTTTCATGTAAGGATACGACTAGCAACATGACAGAAATTTGTGTAGCATTTTAGCAGAAAGTGAAGCCCCAGCCATAGAATCTCTAGGTTAATCTATTAAAGTTGTATTATTGGAATTGTATTATTGATATGGCTGGTATGAGAATTTTCTGGAGAAAGCTAATCTTTATCTTCTGGGGCTTTGCAAAATCATCTTTTCATGGAATTGCAAATGTTTTCCAAAGGACCAAATATCAAGGTTTATTTTGAGGTAATATTTTAACAGGAAATTTGCAGTTAATTTCTTAATTTTTTATTTCAGAGATATAGTGATACAGACTGCAGGAACTCTTCAACACATGAGGGCGAAGTTGCACCAGGTACAGATCTGACTTGGTGCAGCAATTCCAAAAACCAAAGCACTGGTGTCTAGTCACTGTCTGGAGGCACCTGAAATGTTAGGGATATTTTTGCTTTATTGAGGATCAGTTATACTGCCTGGCTGTTTTTCCATCAGCATCACAGAGTTAAGATCATGGCCACACCTGTCGTGGAAAGGTGCCCTCTGTTCTGTGGGGATAGTTTAGAACCCCAAGGACAGGGTTTTTTAAAATAACTGTGTCCACTAGAGGGATCCCCAGTAACGCCTGACACCCCGACAGTTCTCAGTGGGCTGTCCTAGTGCAAGCTGGGAGTCAGCTCCCTGCAATTCATTGATCTTCTGGAAGTTGGAGTTCGGGGATGAAATGAAAGTCGGTTAATGAGGACCATGCTTATAAACTGAATTAAGTGGGCAGACAATGAAGAGAAGGCAGTCAGCAAGGGAGGGTTTATAGTAGTTTGTAGGGGTAGGTTGTTGTATGTTCACCTGTGTTAAGCTAAGAATGAAGATAATTTGGTAGGACAAGTGAAATAAACCTGGCAAAGAGATATTAATGGCTGGAAAATCTGCAGGAGGTACACTGTGTGACAGCAGGTAGCTGGCAGAAGTTATACAAACCCCAAATGTCTAATCAGCATTTAAAGCAAAAATACAATGATTTGATAAGCATGTAAAAATGATACTGGACTTCGGTTATTATCTGTAAGATGTAGTGAAACAAATGAGACAGGATAAAACATATACAGTTGGAGAGTCATACAGGTATGATGAACACAAGAAGATAAAAGTAGACTCAAGGTAACAAGAAAGACCCATGGAAATGCTTAAAGACAAGAGACAGATCTGCAATTGGAGCAGAAATACTATCAAAAATCAGTTTTTTAATAGAGGATGAGGAGAAAAAATAGGCAGAAATTGAACATGGGGCAGCAGGAGGAATAAGCTAGCCACAAACTGGAAATTGAGAAGGTAGCTAGGGTCCAGACTCTGAAAGAATAAAGCACAATGCACAGAAAACTTACAAACAATGCAAAGGGACGATAATCACAGTGAAAAGAGAAAGGTGAGGGGAGATGGACATCAGTACTAAGAGAAGGCCTATGTGTGTGATGGGAAGAATCCTTCCTGTGGTCAATTGAACAGCCTGTTGCAGGTGCAAACCCCAAAAGTAGAAGCACGTGCTCTCCTTCCACACAAGATACAGAGCTGCTGTTGAAAGGATCCAAATGGAAAAAATTAATCATCCACTGATCATCCTTCATACTGAGCCAAATTGAAGGTTTCCCAGAGGAACATACTAAGAAAGGCTAAGCCAGGTCAGGAAAGATGCTCAAAGAACTGGAGGTTCAGATGATCTTCAGCAGAAAGTCGTCTGGTCCCTATAAATTAAGCAAAGGCAGGAGAAGATAAGGAAAATTACCTAGTGACCTGAGACATTATGAACTGTTATGCAGAAGATTTTGGAACATTTGTCCATCAAGCTGTATTCACTGAAAGAGGATTATTTTAATAGGGGTTCAAAGGATAAAAAACAATTTCTTCAGAGAATTATATGCTGCCGCCTTTGGAGTAGGCCAGCCTCACACCTGGCTAGACAAATACAGTTTTACTGGTTTACACTTGATATTGTTATTTAATATGCTCTATCCTTGACACATTCCTATATAATGTAACTATATATTAAAAACAAAAACAAAAAAAACCCCAACCTAACACAGAAATTTCAGTTCTTTTATTCTCTTATGTTGGCTTTTTTTTCCTCATTCAGTTCATATGCCTGGATGACAAAATAATACCACAATAGGTCAGTGATAATTCTAATTTGTACAAATAGATAGATTCCCTTTTATTAATTTCTGTAACTTGTGAAGTAGGTAGAAAATCAGGTTTTTCAATTACTGTCAGAATGGAACAAGCTCTAATACTGCAAATCAAGCATCAAGGATAGCAGTTTATGGTACTGATAAAATCCTTTCAACACCTGACTTGATTTATCTTTTTACTTTGAATTTGAATTACTGATTTATTCCTCTGCATACATTTTTCAAAGAAAGATCAATTGCTCATGATCTTTGGAAGTACTGCAATTACAAGCAGTAATACTAATAGGTGTGAACTGAGTGGGATGCATATAATTATATAGTACTTATGCAATGACGCATCTTCACAGATAAAATTCCGATAGCATTTATTATGTAAGTGTACTTACCTATTGCAACTATGTATCTACATGAGAATATGTAGAGCAGACTTCACAAATTCTGCACAGTTCCTGCATGCACATTTGGAATCCTGACCATTATGGCGAAGGATCATCCACTTTATAAGGGCACAAAGGAGTCTATAAACAACTAAACTAAGAGTCATATGCAGTACGGTCGGTATTTTTCCCTCCTTCATTTGGTGAGATGTGGTATTTGACCTGATCCCATACCTCATTGGCTTTGACTGGGATAGTTCACTCTCTCTTCCCTTACTCTCTCCTTGCATGGTCTTGTCTTCTTCCTGCTCTCAAAAGATTTTTTTTTCTTTTCAACTCAGTTGAAAAGTTTTCTGTTAGATCAATGATTTGTAATCATTCTAAGGGGGAAATGGGAGAGCCAGAACTGGCAGTACATGAAAGGAAAGGGGATCTTGGTGAAGACAAAAAGAAGTCAGGGGAAAGTAGAACTGAGAGTCACAACTTTGGTAGCAGATGGCTTATCTGCTAGGCAGGGTCACAGTCCTTATGTCTTAAAGTATTTTGAAAAAGTGACAGTCACTGTAAGGTCAGTGAACTTGCACAAACTGGTTTAAGAGCTTGATCCAACAAGCTCCGCAGTTCTTAGGATTATCTCTAATGAGTCTGATTCAAAGCCTGTAAGAAAATTCAATCATGAGTCTAGGTACATAAAGTTCTTTAAGGCAACCAGATTCCTGTGTATATACAGTGCCCTCATTAAACCATTCCATGTCGGAGGCATGAATATATTTTTATGAGAAAAAGCAAATGCCAATTTTCTTTAGAAACAGAAGAAGGAAATATTGTCCTACATGTTTTACTTTTGTAGGGTTTTTTTAAGAAAGCTCTTCAAAATTTCTTGAGTAATTAAGACAGTGAAATAAAGTGCTAGAGAAGCACTTCTACCTACCTCCTAAATGAAAGATGGCAATAGTTACTGATGTGATCCAGGAAGTGGTGCTTGCAAGTTCATCAAAGTGCTGCTGGATTTCAACAAAGAACAGACCAAAAGTCTTGAGGACGGCAGCAGTGAGGCCCATCACCATGAAGGCTGATACTACCACAACCCATCCATAGCCACCATCTGGTGGATTGCTGTCTTTGGCCTGCATCTTTTTTAATTCTCAGATCTTCTCTCAGGTTTTTTTTGCTAGAGTGGTAGTGACTGTAGTGAGGATTTTTAACAGATCTGCAAATTAGTAGAAGGCCTGATGTTAAAGAAATTAATTAAAAGATTCTAGGAATGGCTTACACAAGTAATCACCAAGTGAAAATACAATATGCATTTCAGTGATTTGACTGAAAAAATTAGCTGGGAAACAGATGCCTCAGGAGACAGAGTAGAGTAGAAAGTAAAATAGAGAAAGTAAATAGAGTAGACAGTAGAAACAAACGAAGAAAGGAAAAAAATGAAGAAATGAAAAATATTCAGATGACAGAAAAAAGAAGCATGCAGGTGTGAAAATAAGGAGAGAAGATGATGGGAAAAGAGATGACACAGACACTAAGACTTTCAAAGGTAGGCCCAGGATCCTACCCATTCTATTAACTTCAACAACATTATCCCACCCACTTTTCAAATCAAAACATTATAGTAAACAATTAGAAAATGCCTGACAGGATGCAATACTTTCAAAAGTTCTCTGGGCATTGCAATAAACTTCACAAACTTCAAAGCTGTCAAGGCAGTTGTTTGCACTGATCAGGCTCTCATCATAATTGTGCGTATGGATAAAGTATAATTATATTTGCTAAGTTGCTTCTATGAGTGGTATCACTAGTGTGACAGAATAAGAGAAAGATTTCTAACTTTAAAAGGGCAGAAAATCTGTCAGTTTCAGTCTTCTGGGTATCCATATAAATGGAAATAAGTGGAAGCTACTTCACTTATCTGGAAGTCTGAACCTAGTGGACTTTCCATTTGTGATATGGCAGCCTCCCAAAGAAAGATTTCACCTTCCATTTGGCAAATACCAAAATGACATTTAAAAACAAAAGAATTCAAGTTGAAGGTATTGGATATGGGATACTCTCAACCTTGATACTGTC